AGGGAGGGAAGCTATGTATGTATGTGTTGCTCATTTCCTTTGCACTGCAAATCCCAAACTACTGTACTGTGTTTGCAACCATTTGTACGTGTGTCTCTGTGTACTTGTATGAGTGGGATGGAGGGAGAGCAGGGGGATGCCAGAGGTAAGCAGAAAATCATCATGTACATAAATGACTCCAAGAAATATTGGACTATCAGTACAAAGGCAATGAAGGAAAGTGTGGACATAAACTGAACAAGTAAAATTATGGAATCGTGGCATATGAAGGAGTCTTAGAAATTCACTAGGTCCAGATTTCTATTTTCAAATCAGTTCAGACTGTTGATTTAGCTATTTAAATTGTTAAAAGAGATTCTGTAATGTTACATAAGTATGTATGTATTTGCTTCTTGCCTCATTTTTAAAAAGATTTGAACAGACCTAATATTTTATTGGGATAGTACTGTGTTCTAGTGTTTCACAGCTATTACTAGGCAGGAAGTTTGATTTAAATAGAGCAATGTTTCCATCTGGGGCAAAGGATTTGCCAGTGTATTAAGGCAAGCTAACAGTGTGTTTGAAACCCCAGTTCTGTGTATGTAGTCAACAGTCCTGCTCTTGGTTTGAAGGGAAGGAGGAAGATTCTTTGTTAGCACCCTCCCCCCTATTTCCTTCAGATATGAAAAGTAGGATACACAAATGAAGGTGGAGAGGGTAGTGTTGAATGTAACTTTACTTTTAATTAAATGATGTTAAAAGCATTTGGAAATAATCTAACCTTGAGGCTCTGCCTGTGTCTACACCGTGTCAACACTATCAGCTAGAAAGGGAAAATTCAAATATCCAGATACTTCACCTATGTTATGCTAAAAATATGAGTATTTGGAAACATCCAGGTGTTTCATTCGTATCCCAAACCAAATAAGAACTTTCCATTTTCTTTTTAAAGTATATCTTTACTGATTTCAGAGAGAGGAAAGGAGAGGGAGAGAGAAACATCAATGATGAGAGAGTCATTGGTTGAGCCCACAACCCGAGCATGTGCCCTGACTGGGAATCGAACCCCGATCCCCTGGATCCTAGGTTGATGCTCAACCGCTGAGCCACGCCCGGCCGGGCAAGAACTTTTCATTTTCCATCTACTTTCTCTCTGCACTTTTTGGCATCACTTAGGAACAGTTAAATTATATTTTTAAACTTTGTTTTCTAAATAACCTGTTTCTTTCGCTTTATGTATTCATAATAAGCTGCTCTGAGAGTCACAGCTTCTACAGACCACAGAGCAGACAAATTAAGTAATCATTTCAGAAGATAAACCTATTTGTTAAAAGCTGTATCTGAAAATGTTCTGAGCTTTTTGAATTAGTCCCTCACCTGTGACACACATGGTCCAAATTGTACACAAAATAATGTGAAAATAATACTTTATGTGTAACAAAATCCCTTCAGGGTATAAACAAATGGATAAATAATAATTAGCATACAAAGCTGTTCACACATATTATTGTGTGCCCTTCTTACTTTTTTTAACTCCCTCCCCTTGCTTATCTGTGAACTCCCGTTCCCACCATCTGCCACAATTTACATAATTTTCCCATCTCAGTATACATACATATATAGCGGTATCAGAATTGTTAACCTGCAGGCTCACGGGAAACAGTGTTATCAGCTAGAGTGCAGTGCTGTGTGCAGTTCCTAGTGCTTTAATTTTACACAGACTTATCTCCTTTCCAAAGGCACGTGGAGCAGCACCTTGACCCCCAATGCCCTTCGGTGAGGTTGTTTCATCCATTTGGAAGGGAGTAAGATTCTCTTGTCACCAACTGCATTTCTCCCTGGGACCCCCAATCTCCTAAATGATTTTTTAAAATGTGCCTACCTTAAGGTCTAGTTCTTGTGCTGTATAAAGTAGCTCCTTGGGATTTGATAAATGCATAAGGTTGTATCCAAAATTACAGTATTATACAGATGAATTTTACTGCCCTAAGATTCTTGTTTCACTTGTTTGTCCTTCCCATCTCCTTCCCTGAGCCACTGGCAACCACCGTCCAAAAAACCATCATTTTACTGTCTCTATGGTTTTGCATTTTTCAGAGCGTTATATCATTGGCTTCACATAGTATATGGCCTTTTTGTATTGGTTGTTTCACCAAGGTTCCTCCATGTTTTTTCATGGCTCATACCTTTTCATTGCCTGCTAATAGTTCGTTGTATGGAGGTATCACAGTTTGCTTATTTATTCATATTTTAAAGGACATCTTGGTGGTTTCCAGTTTGGGATGATTATCAGTAAAGGTTCTATAAGTATTTGGGTGCAGGTTTTGGGTAGATGTAGGTTTTCAGTTCAACTGGGTAAATGCCAAGTGGCATGACTGCTGGGTCATATGGTAAGACTGTGCCTAGCCTTGTGGGCGACTGGCAAACTGCCTTCCAAAGTGGCTGTTCCATTTTGCATTCCCACCAACAAGGGTTCCTGCTGCTCCACATCCTCATCAGCATTGAGTATTGACAGTTGGTTTTTTTTCCAGTCATTCTAATAGGTATGTATTGGTGTCTCATTGCTTTAATTTGCTTATCCTAATTAACAAGACAATAGTGACATGGCAGCAAATCGATGCATTTGCTTAGAACCCCCCTCCCCAAGATTGCTCTTTTTAAGTAAAATATAATTATGTAAAATTGCCTACACTTAAGGTTAATACAGAACTCAAAAGAATTCCCTTAGACGCCATGCTACACAGAAAATAATTTTTATGATGGGTAAAAGGAAATTGAAATACAGCTCTAAGGCAGCACTTCATACGTCACAGGCACGTCTTCTTATAAACCAACAGCCCACATTTTGATAATCCATGATTTAGACTTGAGCGTGGTCTAAATGGAGAAACACTGCAAAGGGAAAAGGTGCCCAACTCTCACTCCGCCCGGTTCTGCGTCCTGGGCTGTGCACGTTGAGCAGCATCCCCGGCCTCTGCCCACCAGAGGCCAGTAGCAGCTCCCACTCCTGTCTCCTTCCACTGAGGTATGAGGTTAAAAAAGGTTTCCACATGTTGCCAAATGTCTCCTGGGGCCAAAACTGCACCCGGTTGAGAATCACTGACTTAAACAAATCATTTTCTTCAAAGTGGTTAAAAAAAAGGAAGGATGTGGCGGCAAGAGGAGCAAGCTTCCAGTGGCCACCGGGGCCACTTACGCTGAAGGACCGGCCGTGCCTCTGTCGCCCTGCACCAGCACTATCTGGGCGACGATCAGGGTGGGAAGGAAGATCAAGGTCATCTCCCGGAGCATGGACTCGTGGCCCCGGGGCATCTCGTACCTCCTTTCCTGCTGCAGGCTGGAACCAGCAAATGAGGGCATCTGCAAACATCCTCAACCCTGCACATTTAGCAAAAAAAAAAATAGGCTGGGCTCCTAAGAAGCAATTGGGGATTTCAAATATAAGGGTTTATAAGCTCTGCAAAGTTTTCCTAAGTTTTTCTTGGTTCCGCCCTTTCCCCCAGGCTTGGGGAAGAGGCAGCTGAGAGGAGGAGCCCGAGTTAATCAGCAAAATCAATTCCCCTCAGCCCTTAGCTTTTCCATGTGCTTTGGACCTCAGCCTTGTCCTTTCAAGTTAAGTTACGGGGCCAAAAAAATCACTGATAGGTCCTGGAAAGACCTGGGTTCCAATCCTTGATTGGCCAGTTTATCACCATATATAGCCTTTGGAAAGTCAGTTATGGTCTCTGAGCCTCAGTTTCCTCATTTGCAAATTAAAAATAATCTCTCTGTACCTCACAAGGTTGTTCTAAAACTGCAAAGCACATATTTTATTTGTCAATAATAATATAATTGAATAAAATAAAAATTGCCAGTTTTGAAAGTCAAAAATAGTAAAGTATTGGTAATTGCAAGTAATTTCTGATATTCTCAAGTAAAAGGATATCCTGCTGATGGCGCCTATGGAGAGAATGTTATCCATGGAGCTGCAGAAAAGTCCCCAGTGAGTTGTACCAACTATTTTTATTACAAGGAGAAAGAAGAAGCCTAAACATTATCTTAGATAGGCACACACATTCAGATGATGGCTGAATATTCAAGTTTTTAGTTGGACTCTGAATTTTGCACATTGCAGGGAAAACCACTAAGATGGTATCTTCTGACTTAACTTCCTATGCAGAAGTGGCTTTGAAGAAAGCCTAGAGCAGTGGCTCTTGACCTCCTAAGTTAAAATGATTGGGGGGGCTTTTAAAAATTGCAGTGCCCAAGCTATACCCCAGATCAATTAAATGAATTAAATGACCAATTCAATGCCTACATCAATTAAAAACACCATTGCTGGGTATAATGGGCTGAATTACGTCTCCCTACCCCCAACCCCAAATTCATATGTTGAAATCCTATCCTCAATGTCTCAGAATGAGACTATATTTGGAGATAGGGGTTTTAAAGAGGTAATTAAGGTAAAATGAGGTCATGTGGATGAACCCTAATGCAATTCGACTGGTGTCCTTATAAGAGGAGATTCAGACACAAACTCACACAGAGGGAAGACCATGTAAAGACACAGGGAGAAGGCAGCCATCCACAAGCCAAGGAGAAAGGCCTTAGAAGAAACAAAAAACCACTGACGCCTTGATCTTGGACGTCTAGCCTCTAGAACTATGAGAAAATAAATTTCTCATGTTTAAACCTCTAAGACTGTGGCATTTTGTTATAGTAACCCTGGAAAACTGAAACAGATTTCTAAGTGGGGATCTAGGCATCAGTAATTTTTAAAATTCCTCACCCATGTAATTTTAAGATGCAGCCAAGGTTGAGAACCACTGACCTAGAGGAAGAAAGAGCAGTCCAGGGTCAAAATTAGGGAAGAAAGGGGAAATTATGAACATTGCTAATCAATAACTTTATAAATATTGGTTAGCATTATCTTTCATCTCCAGTGAGGCACCATCAGCCACAAAACCTCTTAAAGTTACTACTTATGGCTGGTTACAGTGTGCATTTAGTTAGGGTACCAGTCAGAAAACACTGCAGGGTAATCTTCTGTGCCACAAGATAGTGACCTTTTAAAGGAACTTGTTGGATATGTGGGTTGGGTTCTCTCCTTTTACTAGCATGTCTACAGAACTACTATAAAGAGCAGAAAAGTGCCTCAGAAAAGGGCCCTATCCAAATCCCAGGGGTGCCCCCTGCTGGAGAATGTGCAGAAATGAACCGACAGAGCCTAGTAAATATTCCTGCTTCAGTTCAGCTTCTTTGAGGTGGAATCTTAGAATATTAATGCTGGAAGATATCAAAGACATACTGAAACCCTTTATTTTTTTAGACAAAGACGCTGAAGTCCATTTCAGGTAAGCATCCTGAGTAAAATTACATAGCTGTTAGTCTCTGTGTTGGAAGCCGAGTTTAGGAGACAAGAATGATTTCTAAAAGCTCTTTAAAAAATATAGTGATTTTTCTGAAGAGATGGGAAGTGGAAAAAGGGGGGGGGGCGGTCCAAGAATTTAGTGATAGTTTTTACAACCCCAAATTCAAAATAACTATTTAATATTCTATGTAATGAATAGATTTTCAATTTAGGCCACATAGACAGAAGAGTAAATCTCTCATCAGCCTAAAATAGGACTTGCATAGATATAAAACAAAATATGCTTTATGACATTAATCTGTATATGTAATGAACACACATCTCAAGAAGTTAACCTATGTGGAAGTACTGTGGAAAGTATAAAGTAGTATACAAATGTAGTAAGCATTTCCTATTTTGATTAGGAATACATTCATGATTGATTACCATAAAGCAAAAAAAGAGAGACTTTTAATTTTTATTTCACTTCATGTGGTGCCCACAGGGGGCCAATGACCCCATGATAGGTACCAGAACACAGGGAAAACAGCATGTGAAGAAAAAGAGATGTATCTTGTGCCTAAAATAAATACTGAGTTGACACTCCTTATTTTGAAGGACATACAAATTCTGCTTTGTGGGATCGCTGAGAGGGCACTGTGGTTTTGGTCTATATTACCTATGTGCAGGCATGGCTATGCTAACTCACCTTCTTCATCTTGGGAAATTTACAAATAAAATGGTGGCCTCATTTAATTTTTCAAGTGGTTAAGATGGAAATCTAGTTTTTAGTATAATGGCGCTAAAAAAATATACTAATCACTTACTTCCACTCATCATCTGCAGAAAGCTTTATGTGAAAGACCTGAAAAAAACATAAAATAGCTGGAATAATTTAGGATGAAAGCCCTAATAAAATGTTTGCTACAAGCTAAAACACACATACGCACATCCCAAAACAAAACAGCAATCAGGCCACTGTTAAGAAATATTTGAGAAGTAGATGAGGCGCTATTCAGTCAAGGTTGTAGAGAATGGATTACCAAAAATAGGTAGTGTCACTCTGGATTCTGCGATATGATATATAAATCCAAGAACCCTTAAAAAACATGCTTTGCTGGTGTCTTAAATGGTGCCAATGAGTAAATATCCATCTCTAACCAGAGGCTCTACTTGTTTGGAGTATTTTTGTGTCCTCCCGCTAATATAATTTAATTTAAAGCCTGGCCCAAGGAAGGGAGTAATCTGACCATGGCCTTGCAGACTGAGCTGTAAAGGACAGAGACCATCCCCAGGAAGTCCTTGTGGATGACCTACAAAGTGTACCCACGTGCTGCCTTCCCTAGATCACTGCTAATGCACTACATTTGGCCACTTGAAAGCTAAAAGCCAATCATTGTGCAGTCACCCAGGAGTCTGGCTAAAACGTAGATTTTAATTCAGGAGGCTTGGGGTGGGAACTGAGGCTCTGCATTTCTTTTTTTTTTAATTTAATTTTTTTATAGATTAATTTTGAGAGAGAGGGAGAGAGAAACATCGATTTGTTGTTACACTTATTTATGCATTCCTTGGTTGATTCTTGTATGTGTCCTGACCCAGGATCAAACCTGCAACATTGGCATATCAGGATGATAGTCTGAAACTGTGCTAGTGAGTCAGGGCAACTTCTAATGGGCTTCCACGTGTCACACTGACTGTAGGTCCCTGGATCACAGAGCTTTGCTATTGGGGATTAAGGGGAAAGCTGTGGATCCCTCCTAGGGCCCAGTTAACAGAGGGGCCGTGCCTCCTGAGGGCAGAGGGCAAGGCAGTGATGTCAGCCTCAACATCAGCAATGAAAGTGCCTGCCGGTCTCCTGCCCCTCCTGGTGTGCAGTTTTCCATCGACAACTTCCTTTGGATGATCTGGGTTTGAACCCAGCGAAGAAGCCATGGAGTTTCCTTACAACTTCCCCACTGCAGAGAATAAATTCCAGATGCATAGGGTGGTCCAAAGGGCCACCACAACCTAGCTCTCCCTTATCTTTCACTACAAACCTTCATGAACCCTAGAATTCTACCAGAGTCACAGTGAATATCACCCACCCCCACCTTTCCCAATGACCGCTCCCCAACATCTTTTTCACCTACAAGCAATTTGGTCTGCTGTTCCCCCCCCCCTCATCACCAGGTGGCCAGGTCTCATCCACCCTCCAAGGCCCAGCTCAAATGCCACGCCCCCCATCAGC